CCAACCAACCAACCAACCAACTTACCAAAATGAAAGTCTTGAAGCTTTAAGCCGATCTGACTCTTTGGCAGATCCCACCCGGTACCAGCATGCTGGGGCAGGACTTCCCGCAAGGGTTCGGGGTTTAGGGTTTAGGGTTTAGAGTTTAGGGTTCCCTCAAGTCTTCGAAGTCCAGCGATACACCATAAACGTGTTTAAAGGGTATCGGGCTTTTTAGGGCTTTCTGAGTAGGAGATCCGAATCACAGAGGACCGCTTCTGCATTCGATCCCTCCGTCAGGGCTTCTGCATTCGATACCTCTTTCTTCCTTGGTCCCCTTGCTTCAGAATTGATGGGGAGGCCGTCGTGTCTCCTCCGGATGTGTCAAGCCGGGAGCTTTACAACCTCAGACCCTACAAAGCCCTACACTCAAAGCCGCAGCAGGGGTTGTAGAGCAGATTGTAGGCTCCGAGCCATCATTCAGGACAACCAAGACGAGGAACACATGAGGCTGTGCCACATGAGAGTTTAGGGTTTAGGTGTACTTGCATTGCCTCCTTTGCTCAATCAATCTTGCAGACAGTGAGGTACCGTGAAGGCGGGAGCGTGCTCAATTTGGAAGAGTCTCCATAAGCCACCAGCATACAGCTACCACTACCGCCTCGCTCCGCCCTCCAGAAATACATCGCCGTGGGGCGTGTGGCGAAGAGATAGGGTGCGCAAGCCATCCCGTGTCCGATGCACAGAACCAATACCAAACCTTCAGCCCCATGCAAACTGTAAACCTCAAGTAAGACACTAGAAACCCTACAACCCCTTCAAGCCCCAAGCTCTAGAGAACCTCACAAGCCCTGAACCCCAAATCCTACAAAACATACAAATGTTTCCTGAACCCCATCAAGCCTAGAACCATCATGGCGCCAGGATCTTTCCAAGCGGAACGATGCCTGGTACGAGGAAAACCTCTCGCACCTGGGCAAGGCGAACACCCGGTGGTCTCGAAGCGAGCTTTGTTTTTGTTGAGGGCTTTGGGTTTAGGGCTTCGGGGGGGGGGGGGTGTGGAATGCATCCGATTCTTGGACTTCTATATGTTATTGGACAGTTTTGAAAGCAAGCTTTCGTTTGGAAGTTCAAGATGAGGTTTGCAAGGCTTCTTCAGTGGCTTTATATTGAATCCGGAAGAGGGTTTGCATTTGAGATCTGGGGTGCAAGTGTAGTCACAAGTTTGGCAGAGAGGTGCCTGCTACTATTTTTTGAGGTAGCGAGTCGAAACACCACCATCCCCAGCACAATCATGATGTTCCACACACCTTTGCAACTATCATGTTCATCATCGCCATTGACTTTAGTAGCATCATCGTCGTACTTTCCTTCACTGGTAATCATCATCGTCGTACGTTCCTTCACTGGTAATGGACGCAATGTCGCGTTAGTTCTGAAAGAGTTACACCATCAATCCTATAGTGTAGAGTATGTAAATCCTCAAACCGCACCCTACACCCCATGCACGCCTAAACTCCTGTTAATCCCAAGCCCAAGTCGTCCACAGAGCAGGATGGCCTTCGGTGCACAAAAGTAGGCACCAACGGCAAGCCCTACGAGCGCTTCGTTCGGCTCTCGGTGGCTTCAGGCTTTCCCGCTCGAGTAAGAGACGCAGCCGAAGGGAAAGGGTGTATGGGTTTCCTAGAACCTAAACCCTAAACCGATGTGCCTCGGACGAGTGGGCAGGCCCAAAAAGGAATTCAAAAAAAAACCTAAACCGAAAAGAATATAAATGGGTTTCCTAAACCCTAAACTCTGAACCGAATAAAATTGGTTTCCCAAGACCGAAGGTCGTGGGGCCCCTGTCTTTTTGTTTAGGAGACGTTGGGGCTGTTAGCCTGATAGTGACTCTGTTCTGCGACACGAATCTAAAAAGTAATTAGTTTCCGAAGTCCGAGACGGTTTTTCGTTGTTGTCCAGAAGATCTAAACTCTACAATGTTACAAGCCAGAACCCCACAAGAAGTGAAACCCCAACCCTAAACCCTAAGCTCCACGGTTCTCATCTCCAGGTCTACCTGGACTCCCGGAACTTGACTCTGGAAATCCGGGGTGGTCGCAGCGGAACCTCAGGACCGCCTCTGGGGGGTGTGCAGGTTCCTCTTGGTATTTTGAAGCCTTTTTGCATAAGACTCGAAGGTTCCTGACGGGGCGTAGGTGCTACCCTAAACCCTAAAGCCTCAACCCTAGGCCCTAAACTCTGAACCCTGAACCCTCAACCCTAAGCCCTGAACCGTAAACTTTAAGCCCTACCCTCAACCCTCAACCCTCAACCCTAAACACTCAACCCGAAACCCTAAACCCTAAACCCTAAACCCTAAACCCTAAACCCTCAACCCGAAACCCTAAACCCTAAACCCTAAACCCTACTTTAAGCCCTACCCTCAACCCTAAAGCTGCTAGCTCAAAAACCGAGACCGGTTGCCAGTGTTGGGCTTGACAAGTTGTCACACGCGACTCGGGGCAAGGCTCCGTTCTACCAGGGCTCAGCGAGATCTCCCATTTTTCTACAGTGGAGTATGGGTTTAGGGTTTGGGGTTTAGGATTTCGGGTTTAGGGTTTAGGGCTTAGAGCTAATATTTAATTAGGGTTATTAAGACCCTAAACACTAAACCCTAAACCCTATAAACTTAAAGGGGCAGGGTTCAGGGCAAGTAGTGTCTCTTCAAAATGGGGGTTTCCGAAAATAGGGGACCCTAATATAGTACCCCAAACAATAGGATCCTTATTATAAGGACCCCAAAATAAGGTACCCCTTATTTTCGGAAACTCCCAAATCGCTTTAGCCCTACAATCACATGACTTCGACCTGAGCTGGAGGATCTCTTGCCGTTCAGGGCAGGGCGTGCATCATCATAAGATCCTTCGGACACGGTTTAGAGTTTAGGGTTTAGGGTTTAGGGGTTAGGGTTTAGGGTTTAGGGAGAAGATCACGAACAGCAACGCAAGTTTGAAATTTGTGAAAATCTTGGACACAGCAGGGGCGCAAGAAGAGTTGTACTCCTAAGCCCTAAACCCTAACCCTACTTTAGTCATTTCCCCAACTGTGAGGAGTGACTTGGCAGTGGCTGCAGCAAGAACAAAGGTTGTTTCTTCATGGTAATGATAGGTCTGGGGGCTCCAGTCAAGCCATGAACCCTAGCCGCTGGGAACGAACCGCAAATCCTTGAGGCAAGCTCCTTGCCAAGGCCTGAAGACTAGTATAGCTATAGTAGACAATATAGTTATCGTAATCGTACTAGCTGATAGCCGTCCCTAAGGCTCCATGTACCCATATAGTAGATACTTAAGCCTTAAAGTACCAATATAGGGACCCCTTTAAGGCCTAAGTATCTACTATAAAGGTACATGGAGCCTTTGGGCGTAGTAATGTAAACCTACGTAGCCTTGCGTCTCTGACAGCCCTGCAGGCTCCATATTCTACGTGCCGGAAGTTTGGGGCGCAGGTTCAGGATCTAAGAAGTCTACCGGGGAGACAAGACTAAGAGAAGCCCAAAATCACCGGTCAAAATCTCTCTTCCTCCCCGTCAATTCTCGTTTCCTGCACCCTAAACCAGCTAAATGCTCGACGCAGACGGTGTACAGATGTTTACAAAAGCCTGAAGAGTTGCCTTGAAGCACCAGGCGTGATGATGGATGATCTGGTCGATATTCGCCAAGGGCTCAACAGCCCCGACTTCGAGCAGCTCGGGCCCCAGGTGCGAACATCGCAGATTTGGGGTTTGGAATTCAGGGTTTTAGGGTTTAGGGGGTACGAACATCGAAGGTTCAAGGGGCCCCCGGACCCCCCCTTTAGGGTTTAGGGTTTAGGGTTTAGGGTTTAGGGGACCCCCGGACCCACCTTACATGTGCATTCTGTCTTGGGGGCCGAGATGGGTGCCGTCTTTGGTGAGGACCCGAAGGAAGAGGTCTAGGCTCGGATCCTTCTTGGGGCTCCTGTGGACCCTAAGCCATTAGGGGTTTAGGGTTTAGGGTTTAGGGTTTAGGGTTTAGGGTATAGGCCATATAATCCTCAACCCTAAACCCGAACAAGAAGTGTGGTTTGGGTTTTCTCTACTTGGCGTGTTTGTTTAATTAGTTCTGAACGCTCGATCCAGGCTTGGTACCTGGCTCCTGCACCGCTTCCATAAGAAAAGAACATGTTTCGGGGCCAGGGGACACGCTTCGGTGCATAGGGGCTAGGGTTAACGGTGCAGGGATTTGGGAAGAAAAGAAAGCGTTCGTGGCCTCCTTGCAGAGTGGCTGTGGGACATACCCATAGGCCCCATAGTAGTTCCTTTTTGGGATTACCTTTTAGGATTCTATAGATGAGCTACAAAAAGGAACTACTTTAGGGCCTATGGGTAGATGCCTGTAGTTCGAGAGCACATTCTGTTCCCTGCGTGAGCCGATGCGTGTCGTTCAGGGCTTCATGGGACTTTTTGGGTTCGAAATTGTTTAGGGTTTAGGGTTTTCCGTGTAGGGTGTGCGGGTCTAGAATATGGTTGAGGTGTAGGGCAAACGCAGAGTCAGTGCCAGAGAGGCGGCGACTAACGCATCGCTTCCGGTTCAGTGTAGGTCAACAGCCCCAACTTGAGATCTGCGTTCGTGTTCAGAGGTTCATGCGCAGATTACCCGTTTATACCTAGCATGGAGGCCATGACACGGTTTCTGGTGGGGCTGAGCTGAGTTAATGTAGGGGCCTTAAGAATTACCTATACTACTTTGGGGGTTCCTTATTGTAATTATAGTATAATATATCCCAAAGCCCTATTCTGATTATTAAGGCCCCTACATTCCGGGGGTCGTGAAGCTTTTCTTTGCTGGTCATGCGTTCATTCCGAGGTTCCTCTCGCGGCTCAACATGGATCCGTGAACGCCTGAGAGTCATTCTTGGCTGTACTTTGTGGTAATGATTAGGGTTTAGGGTTTAGGGCTAGCTGCCCTTCCGCCGACTATTGAGATGAAGAGGCCTCAAGAGATGCTCAAAGCCAGAAGAAGTACTCCACAGGTAAACTAGCTTTCGGTTAACATTTAGCAATTCTTCGCATCAATCCTGACCCACACTCTTTAACACTTTGGAGGGCCGGTTTGTAGGTCTCCCGATGCGCACTCAGCTTTCGGATCGGGATTGGCAACTCTGGAGTGTGGCAGAAGCTTAAACATAGCTCCTACCTATAGTCTCCGTTGTAGTTCCTTTTTTTGGTTTAACCAGTTATACATTAAGGAATGTATAAGGTATCCCCGAAAGGAACTACAATAGAGACTGCAGGTGACTGTAAGCCCATGTGCTGCAGTATCGTGCCCAGAAAAAATCCTTTCCGTAAGCCTGAGCCGAACTTTCAGGAGTGGGTTAGACACGAAGTCGCTCGTTCTGCAAACGTGCTGTCCTCAGCCGAAGATCATGGTGTGTTTCAATCAGTGCCAGATTCACGGGTTGCAGTTGTAGCCCCCTTCATCATGCGAAGTTGGTGACACCTGGCGAAGAGGGCGAAGATGGCGACCATCGGTGGTGTTGAGAGACATGGCGAATCTTACGTGAACCCTGACTTGAGCCGGAACGCCAAATCTGAGGCCTCGAAAGAATCCTTGACAGCCTCATGAGCTCCAAGGCCCGATAGAGCTCTAGATGAGAATCCGAAAGATCTCCAAAATGGGGGGGAGGAGTTGATTTTACCGTGTGCCTTCGGGTTCCTCACATGATGACGATAGTAAGTAACCCCCCCCCCCCTCTCTCCCACTCCGGTCCCCCCTGAAAAAAAAACAAAAACCAACTGAGTGATTACAAGGCCCCTATATGGGACACTGAGGCCTCATCGCACCTTCTCCTTCATCATGCAAGGGCCTCAGCTGTGGACTAGTCCTCCAGGGTTCAGGGTATGGTTCTGAGTAATATCGGGGCCTAAATCATTACTCATACTATTTTGGGGGCTCCTTACTACGATTATGGTATAACCTACCCCAAAACCCTATTTTAAACATTAAGCCCCCTATATTACAAGCCCCCTCACAGGATAGCACATGTCATCGCACCATCGGTGTTGTGACATCGTATCTCGTGTGCACACATATATGCATACTAGATAATGTATATACTCCTCAGCTCACATGCCCTGATAAAGATGAAAGATGTCCAGGAATGCCTCCCAGAGGTCTTATGTTCAAACCCTTGTAAGCTTCAAGATCTAGGGTGCCTCCGGGATTCACTGTCAGGGGAATATAAGGAGCTGCTTTTCATGTTCAAGGGCGCGCAGTCGATGGGAGTTGAGCAGACTTGTCAGGAATGACCGGCAGCAGCGCGACAACATCGGCCTCTGCATTCTCTACCTCCTCAAAATCAAGAATAGAGGCCGGAGAGCAGAGCTCACAAACCATGAAGTGCAAACTGGAAACACCCCCGCCACCAATGTACAATCTCTTTGCGTTTTAAATGGTTATTGTATACATATACATACAGATGTGTACATATACGTGTACTTCGTCTTGTACTTGTGCTTCCGAGAATCACTGAGACATCTCTCGCACTCGTGCCTTCCAAGCCCTGAGCCCAGAATTGAGGTCCCGATGACCCCAAACCCTACAACCCTCCTTGGGCTTAGGGCTCAGCTGTAGGATTTTGGCATCCAGGCCCGTTTGTATGACCACTTGTGGTGTGGGGTCTAGGTCTGGGTTTGGAGCAGCGCCATGCTTGAGGGTTGATGATTGGTGTGGAATTGCTCCTACACTTCCAAGAACCTATCCGGTAGGCACCAAAGATCGACGGAGCTTGGTACTCTTTTGCACGAAGCTGGCGGTTTGCTGCCCACCAGCTCGTCCCTGAACCATCAACCCTCCCTCAACTAACTCTCCACCCTCAACCAAACCCTCCCTAAACTAGACTAACTAGACCTTCAACCGTAAACCAGTCCCTCAACCCTTAACTAAACCCTCAACCCTCAACTAGACCCTCAACCCTACACTGTGCACGCTTGGGAAGCACGCGAAAACTTCGGCGAGCCATTGATTTAGAGCTAACGCGGCGATTCAATCCCCCAAGCCCTGTGCTTTGGATTTGGAGATAGAGACTGCTATACTAAACTGAAGTATTCTATATTCTATAGTCTCTAAACTAAAGTATACTGAACTAAACTAAGCTAATAATTTGCTATAGCTACAGGGATTCCGCAGGTAGCCCAATACCGTAAATCTCTAAACCCCAAAACCCTAAACGATGAATCATTCGGAAGGAGTCATGGCGGCGAGTTCTACTTCGCCGTCTGCTAGCAAGTCGCCAACTGTAGGACCTTGGCCTGGAGTGATGATTGGTCCTTGGGAGACCAAAAACCCTATAAAACCCTAAACCCTAGAAGCCCTAAACCCTATAGGCCCTAAACCCTAAACCCCAAGGGTTAGATTGTCGGTATAGGCTTTGGGGCTTTGGGTTTAGGATGGTTTCTGTTCACTGGCAGGTGGTATAGGGTTTTATCGTGACCCCCCAAGCCTGTTGGTTTAAACAGTTACATGAGGTCATCATCATAAGAAACCCCGAACATGTAGGATTTTAGTGGGTGCCAGTAGTCACCGTTGTACTTTCTGATTTTGCCTAGCTTTAGTGTCATGCTAGGGTCCCAGACATTTACCTGGCTGGCCAAACTGGACCTACATTAGAGACCGAGAGTCAAGCCGTATCATGTTGTTCTTTCCTGAGCCGCAGAACCTACACAACTCGGATCGATTCCGCGTTTCTTTCTGCTCACTGAAAAATGTAGGTATGCCATTGGAATATTTTGTATGTTGCTTTATTGGGTTCACACAGTACTGGGGTCTTATCCGCGAATAATTTACCAAGGTTCTTTATAGGCCCCAGCTAGAAGCCCTGGTCCCAAAATGCAAGAATCAAACCAACTGCGGAATGTCACATTCCCCCCCTCAAACAAAAAACAACTCTCGCGGTGGTTTTGGCATCTGCATATCGGCAATCGCAACAACCGTGACTGCCGTGCGGCCATGCACGACAAGTATCTCCGATATTGTTGGTCATAAGTCATAAGGGTGATGTTAAGTGAGGCGAACATCAAACGCAGTACAACCGGCCAGGACTGGAAGATCTGACCCCAAACCCGAAACCCTGGACCTTGCCAAAGCCCCCAAGTTGGAGCCCTGATGGTCAATGCTCACTTAGGCCACAATAGAAGATACATTGGAGGCTTCTTTACACCCTAACGAAACTCCAGAGCTCTTTAAGCAGAATCATCGTGGCAAGTCCTATGGTAGACGCCCAAAAGTTGGAAACTCCATAGCCTCTATCCTTAAGAGCCATATATATATATATATATAGGGAATCCCAGCACTATTTGGCCTTTATCCGGTTTCCAACTTTATGGGGCTTACTGTAAACCCCAAATCCTGATCTTCGATCCGCGAGGACCCAAGTCTGGCCCAGGGAAAGTCGTGTACCAGAACAGGTCTTCTTACGAGGGCCAGCCGCGACCTAAGCGTAGGGTTTAGGGTTTAGGGTTTAGGGTATGGGGATTTAGGGTTTAGGGTTTAGGGTTAAGCCAGATTTTCTGGAGAGCTTTCTTGGGTGCCCATATCCCGAGTTGTTCCCCTTGAGACCCCAAACTAGAGTGAGTTATAACCCCAAGTAGCAACTATCTAGCACCTTCTTCGACCAGGCCTCAACTTTGAGAGAAGATTCGGATCTACCGGCCTAGGTTTGTAAGGAAAGTCAGGATATGTCCGAGCTAGTCCGTCAGAGGACCCTGGGGGTTCTGGGTGTCGTGGTCGTGTTGTTGATGCCTCGCCCTGAGTTGACTGGCACGAGTGGTTAATGTAGAAGCCTTCATAATAATAATAATAATAATAGGGTTTTGGAGTACATTATACTATAACTATGAAAAGGACCCCCCCCCCCCCCCTCCGCAAAAAAAAAGAAAAAGTTTTGGCAATCATTTAGGCTCCCATCGGGACATGCCTCGTTGCTAAGCTTATGGAAGGATTCCACGGCTATGCAAGGCCCAGTAAGATTAGCGTGAGTTCCTTGAATGTCCCTTTCACCTGGAGCGTCTTCCTCTTCTCCGTGTTTAGTGTGTTAGTTAAGGCTTAGGCTCAGAGTGGTAACAACCAAGAGCCCCAAAGACTGTAACGAGGTTTCACAACTACATGCGCCATGGGCAGGGGGTGTCGGCCTCAGGCATTGAGGGTTTCAGGGCCACAGGGTTTTTTGGGGTCTGAAGTTTAAAGCCCATGTGGCAGTTGTGTAGCGGAGTGTGGTGGTTTGGAACAGCTATGAGCTATTTAGCGAAGTTTAGCCTTGCATTGGCAATCCTGGACGCTTAAAATCCTTACTTAACTTGAACCGGACTGCTAGAAACCCTTAGACAAAAATCACCGCAAAGGTCTAATGATAGTGCAAACGGCTCCTTTTTGCGCTGTGGCGGTGAGCTGTCACGACTTGCCCTGGACTTCATCCGAAGGTTCGCTATGAACATAAGAACCCAAAAAAGCACAAGTACCCGCACGCAATCTGAAACTGGGCTTCGGGGCGATTGTTCAGGCCCAACCGTAACCTCACGACTCAAGCTTAAACCGAACCCCCTGAACCCCTAACTAAACCCTAAATTCCGAAGCCTCGAAATCCTACCCTAAACCCAAAGCTGCTTCGAAGTTTAGACAAAGTACTAACAGCAAAACCCCTTTGAAGCCCAGAAGTTCAACCATCGAAGCGTCGAACGCCAGACCCTGACGCTCTCGGACGGCACCAAATATGTGGCGCAGTGGAAGAACGACGAGCGCCATGGTGAGGCCAAAGTTGAGGGGTTAAGGGTTCGGGCTTTAGGGTTTTAGGGTGGCAGAACGACGAGGGCCATGGTGAGGCCAAACCTTCTGCACGCGAGGAAGCGATCCTGGTGACAACGTGCATCATCGCCACCATCATCATTACCATCACCATCGTCATAGTCCTTCTCGTACGATTTAAGAAAAATTATACTGAATAGTAATTAATGAGATCAACTAGTATCCACAGTAAGAATGATCATTAAGACCGAATGGTAACAGGGATCAGTGGTAGACTTGATAGCAATCGCCGTCAGAAAGTCACAGGTGCAATTACCAGCAACTGGAAGCCTCCAAATCATCGCACCGGGCTGTAGTGTAGTAATGGTTATGCCTTGAGCTGTGAGCGCTGGACCACCCTAAACCCTAAACCCGGGTTTAGGGTTTAGGGTTTAGGGTTTAGAGTTTAGGGTTTAGGGTTTAGGGTTTAGGGTTTGGGAAGCCAGTAGTGTTCCGGCAGGGGAAGGAGCTGTGTCCGGATGGTACCACCTTTGAGGGCTCGTGCCTCAGGAGCTGCAGTGCAGGATCGGGTTCAAAATAGGGTTTTAGGGTTTAGGGTTTAGGGTTTTTAGGGTTTTAGGGTTTTTAGGGTTTAGGGTTTAGGGTGACGGGTTCACCTGTCCCGTTGCTGAATATAGACGGAACTGGGGGGCAAAGGCTCAGCGACACACACACTGAGCCCAACGTTGAAGCACGAGGCATGTTGGCTTCCTGGCACAGACGAACTCTAAACTCTAAACCCTCTACACCCCAAACCCCGATTACGAGTTGAGGCTACGAAAGTTCAGATGTGAAATAAAGTTTCAGCTGCTGACTCCAGGTAACGCTTGCTGGACTAGGCTTGTGCTGTTCATTACATCACATGAGCCGGCCCTACACCCGAAAACGCCTGAGAATCCGGAGCGGCTTGAGATCGGAGGTTGAGAGTGGACTCTTTGGGGTTGTTAATGATGTGCTGAAGTCATTGCTCTCTCAACTTCAAGTTTCTGTTTCCCCGGGGTCCCCAGGGTGTAGAGTTTAGGGGTTAGGAGTTTGGGTTTAGGGGTTTACGGTTTTGGGTTTAGGGTTAAGGGTTCCCTAAACCCTAAACCCTAAACTACGATTAAAACATAGCGCGAAGCCCTATGCCCTGATTCCTGAAACCCTCCATCCGGTTCATGAAGCCCTGGGCCTCTGACGTCATATGCGTAGTCTTCTACATTAGTAGGGTCCCTTTTTTGGGTCCTTTTTATAAGGGCGTCATACTATGATGGGGACATAAAAGGGATCCTAATTTAGAGGACTATCCTCCTTAGGGTTTCGGTGTAGGGTTTGCTCGGGGCTTTGAGTTTCGGTGGAGGGTTCAGGGTTACGGGCTTCGAGCTTAAGGCTTTGGGTTTCGGTGGAGGGTTCAGGGTGTTTAGGGTTTCGGTGTAGAGTGTAGGGTTTGGGGTTTCGGTGCAGGGTTCTGGGCTTTAGAGTTTCGGTTTAGGGTTCGGGGCCTCGGAACAATGAAGCCACGCATCCCTTGGCCGCTTGAGGTCACTATGTGGCGGGCATGCGACACGGATACGGGGTCATGAAGTGGTCCGGGCACCAAGATTGGGTGTAGATTTTGAGGAGCTGCAGTTGAAGATCCAGGATTTAGGGCTGAATGGAAGCGGACTTCTATTTGAGGCTGCAAGGTTGTAGGGTTTAGGGTTTAGGGGTGTTCCAGGGGTCAGGTTTGCGGCTTACGGATTTTAAGATGTTGGGCCGGAGGCCTCCAAATTAGGGTCCCCTTCTCGTTGTCCCCAAAATACTACGGCACCCTTAGAACAAGGACCCCCTAAAAGGGACCCCATTCAGAGGACTACGCGTGTTCATGTCCTTAAGATACATCTTCAAGAAAAGCTTCGAACCATTGTTGTGGGTTGAGGGTTTCGGGTTGAGAGTTTCGGGTTTAGGGTTTAGGGTTTCGGGTTCAGGGTTTATGATTGGCTGAGGGTTTAGAGTCTGGCGTATGTGTTGCCTGTCTTGATGGAGAGATCAAAGGAGATGTCTAAGCGCCCAACCCCTGAAACTCCGATAAACGCCCACAGCCTCCAAGAAACCCTCGATCGCATACCCTATACCTAAACCCTAAACCCCTAAACCCCTAAACCCTAAACCCAGACACCCCTGCCGCAACTGATCCCCAAACCTTTTCGCATAAATCATTTTCTGAAATCCGAAAGCTCTAAGGCCTAAAGCTCCTTAACCTAACCCTAAACCCTCACCCTTAAACCCTAAACCCTCAACCCTCAACCCTAACCCCTGAAAACACTCAACCCCTAAACACTAAACCCTAAACCCTACACATTCAACCCCTAAACACTAAACCCTAAACCCTACACATTCAACCCCTAAACTCTAAACCCTAAACCCTAAACCCTCCAGGCCAGAAGGCTAAACCCTAAACACTCAACCCCTAAACTCTAAACCCTATAAACCCTAAACCCTAAACCCTAAGCCCTAAACCCTCAACCCTAAACTCTATAAACCCTAAACCCTAAACCCTCCAGGCCTAAACCCTCAACCCCTAAACTCTATAAACCCTAAACCCTAAACCCTCCAGGCCTACACCCTCAACCCCTAAACTCCTATAAACCCTAAACCCTAAACCCTCCAGGCCTAAACCCTCAACCCCTAAACTCTATAAACCCTAAACCCTAAACCCTCCAGGCCTAAACCCTCAACCCCTAAACTCCTATAAACCCTAAACCCTAAACCCTCCAGGCCTAAACCCTCAACCCCTAAACTCTATAAACCCTAAACCCTAAACCCTCCAGGCCAGAAGGCTCCAAATACTCCGGCATGTTTGAACGCGGCCGCTGCTCGGTGTGGAAGTAGCGGGTTTAGAGTGTAGAGGGTTTGGGGGTTAGGGGTTTAGGGTTTAGGGGTTAAGGGGTTTAGGGGTTTAGGATTTAGGGGTTTAGGGTTTGGGGGTTTGCGGGTTAGGGCTTTAGGGCTTTAGGGTTTAGGGCTTTAGGGCTTTAGGGTTTAGGGTCTTTAGGGTCTAGGGGTCTAGGGGTTTAGGGTTAATGTAAGGGTTTGGGGTTTAGGGCTCTAGGGGTTTAGGGTTTTTAGGGGTTTAGGGTTTAGGGATTTAGGGGTTTAGGGTTTAGGGCTTAACTTTTTGGGTTTGGGGGTTTCGGTATAGATTTCTCATCGGATATGGGGAGGGGGTCTTCCGGCTTTCGAAGTTTGCTTGCAGGGGTTAAGCCGCGTGCGGCTGCTAAGGATTTAGGTAAGAAGGTGTTGAGGCGCAGGACTTTGGGGCCTGGCATCTACGGGCTCAAGTGTGGCGTCTTGGCGATGTTGTCGGCGTAGGGTGTTGGGTTCAGTCTTTAGGCTTTTAGAGCCTTATGGCTTCGAGATAGTGTTTCCAGGCTGTGAGGCCAAAATGAAGGGCTGATTGGGGCTAGTGAGGCTGTAGGACGTACACGGGCCTTGGAGTTTACGGTTAGAGCGTGCAGGGGTTTGAACATTTTGGAGTTTGAACATTTTGGAGACGCCCCGTGGTAATTTCTTCACATCGTGGCATAGTGATATTGACTTGCTGCCTGCCCTAGTTGCAATCGTAGCTGTCGGTCTATACCCTCTTTGAAACTATCATGAAAGCCCTTCTGCGGATTTTCCATGACCAGCCATGCGCCTACCTGTTTCTGGGCGGGTTCCTGCGACTCTCTTGTTTCGGATGTACAGTACGGTTGCTACGCATGCCGGAATGGTGCGCACTCAATCCGCTTAGAAGGAACTCCACAACGAGAGAAGTCGCCTCATCAACCTTCAACCCTGAACCCTACAAACCGAAACCTTGTGAAACAACCCTTTAAACCCGAAGCCCTAAACGCTAAACCCCTAAACCCCTGAAGCCCTAAACCCTAAACCAAACGATGGGGTCCGAGCCAAGGAGCCAACGGGCAAGGTGAGCTGCTTCGAACCGACGGCTCTGTGAGAATCTCAGTGACGTCTGCTGTGAGCTTCGGAAGAGTCCGTCAAGACATCCCCGCAAGGGCTCCTTTAAGGCTTCTTCAAACAATAAGGGTTTAGGGTCGGAATAACTAGCAAACATGTCGATCGTCCCTGTTGCAACTGGGGTAGAAAAGGCCCGAAAGCCACGTCCAATCATGCAGGCCACTATAGTAAGAAAATCAGGCGCTGTTGCTAGGGGTTGTTGTGTACATTAGTGCGATTGCTTTTTTACTGCGCCAAGATCTAGGACATTTTCAGGTGGGTAGTTACCGTTATAGGAGCCTTATAGAAGGTCTATATACCTTATAGAAGCCATATAGACGCTCTATATACAATAAACTCCCCACCTGTAGTTTCCTTTGACAAGATGACACGGTTGCCAGGTCTACCGCGGCCAATTCTGCGAGGACTGTTCTGGGTGCTCGTGTTTTAACCCCAAGACTCCATATATTTATATAGTATATACATAAGCCGTAAAGTACCTATATAGGAACCCCTTTAAGGCCTAAGAAGAGGCTATATGGGTGCATGGAGCCTTTGGGTAAGGGCTGCCAGGGGAGCGGCGGAGTGAAAGAGCAGGGAAAAAGGAGGCCAACCTTACCACTGTTATACCACAAAACCCTAAACCCTAAACCCTAAACCCCTAAACCCTAAACCCCTAAACCCTAAACCCTAATCCCTAAACCCTAAACCCTAAACCCTATACTACACCCCCAACCATCTTGAACCCAGGCCTGACATCACCTAAGTATAACTATAACATCCTAGAAGATACCAAAATATACTATGACGTCGCATAAGATACCAGAATATACTAGAATATACCATGCTATACCTAAGCATGAACACGAAGAGGACTGCATGTCCGGCGAGGGACGAATGCAGTGGCGCGACGGCCGGGGACCAAGCAGAAAAGAGGGGTTTAGGGTGCAGGGTTTAGGGTGGCAGTTTCTCAGGCTCCCTGGTATGAGTATTGTAGATTAAATCAAACCCCAACGCTGTGTTGTAATGATGTAGGCCCACATGTTGGGTTGTATTTCCAGAAACTTACACGGTTTCAGAAGGGTTCTACAAGGCAGGTGCTAAGGGTTGATTGGGATATGGGGCCTCTGCTTTTCAGGTTTAGGGTTTAGGGTTTAGGGTTTAGGGTTTTTGTTATTTCTGTGTTGTGTGGTGTTCTGGCTTCAGGGTTTGCAAGTTCTGGGGTCTAGGGAGGCTATATCTAGGATGTTCACACCATTTAGACCGCGTTTAGACAGTATGATGCCACATACTATGCATGTGTGTATATATAGTGTGTGTGTGTGTGTGTGTGTTTGTTTGTGTAGTTTGGGAATACATATATGTACACATACGACATGCTGCTACAGTAATGGTGTTTGTGCTACTATTTTTGTCCCACTCGATTGTTGATCATCCGAAAAGAAGCTGCAGTCCTTAGTGGCAGGCCTTGTCATTGTTATTCTTTTCATTGTGGTCAACGTGTCTGGGGGAGTCGTACAGCCTCAGCCGTCTGGTCTTAGGGTTTAGGGTTTAGGGTTTAGGGTTTAGGGCCGCAAACCCCCAAGGTGTGGAGTACGTCGGCCAATTCGTGGCCAACAAGCCGCGCGATTGCACTTAAATTTAGACCTCAGGTCCATTTGACCCTGGAGCCCCTAAAACTTAAACCCCATAAGGGCAGTTCTCTAAATTAGGGTCGCTTTTGAGGTCCTTTTTATAAGGGTGCCGTACTATATTGGGGATCCAAAAAGGGACCCTAATTTAGAAAACTACCCATAAACCCTACAGCCCCAATCGGCTGGATGCCTTCTCCACGGGTAGAAGCGGGTGCAGGACGCCGGGCAAGATTGTTCGGGTCACCAACAGCACCGAACGTTGAACATATTGTCATGGCAGCTTACATGAGTTCAACAAAGCTTTGGTGTCTAACATCGACAAGACACAGGGATCAAGTGCTGAATGTCCGCAAGTCGGTAGTCCTAAACCCTATACCCAAAACCCAGAAGATCCCGCAATCCTAAGCCCTGTGCGTGGTGCAGACCCTAAACTTTATAAACCCTAAACCCTCAACCCCGACCCCCGAAACCGAAAACTTCAGAAACAGCCAAACTGGGCGGCGTTGGCGACTGGCGAGTTTGCTGGTTTAGAGCTTCAGGAGTCTATGGTTCCTTCAAGGGCGCCTTTAAGGATCCCTTCATTCACGGTTTCCCACAAGGCTTCTAAAGGGCCCCAAAAACCCAAAAAAGGAACTACTAAAGGGTTCAAAGGGGGGTGGAAGGGCTTCGAGCTGCAGGCTTAGTGCTAGCACTGCAGGGCTATGTTTTTGTTCAGGCTTTGGGTGTAAGGGTTTGGGGTTTAAAGGGTTTAGGCAAGTATCGGTGAACATAGGGAGACAGAGAGAGATAGAGAGAGTTCACAGATGAAGCTGACGACCAGTGCCAGCCACATCTAGATTACAGCGTCATTAGTACCAGTCGAAAGCAGTCGACATACTCAGCCGAGCTGCAGTAACAGATACCTGCATCCATCGGCATCTGCCACGTTACTTCGGTTGTGTTTCATTTGGACGCCTCTTACCTTTCTAAACCCTGAGCCGTTGAAGCCTAAACACTCAAATGCTAGAGCCAAAGCCCGGTGGCTGGGTAAGGGCCCTTCTGTGGACAAACGGGGTCAAGGTTTGCTGAATACCTCCCTTAGCCATAAACCCTAAACCCTAAACAACCCTAAGCCCTAAGCCCTAAACCCTAAACTCTTTGAGTCGGAAGCTTTGTTGGCTCTCGCACAAGCCGGCGACGGGAGGAAGGCCCAACTTCTCCGCAGACTTCTGTCATGGGCAGTTTTTGCCTTGAGACTCGGTTTAGGGTTTGGGGTTTGGGGTTTAGGGTCTGGGGTTTAGGGGGTAGGGTGTAGTAGAGTTTAGGGTTTGGGGTTTACGGTTTAGGGTTTAGGGTTTCCGCAAATTAATGCCAGCAAGCAAACGAATGCGACTTCAGCTTTGAAGACTAGGACACCGGGAAGCACAAACCTCTGAAGCAAAACTTATCGACCCGTAAAACCCTAGGCCGCCGCAAAGACCTGTGGCTTACTTACGCACTTGAAGCATCACGGGACTTTGTAGGTTAGGGTTTAGGGTTTAGGGTTTTGGGTTTAGCTAAAGTTGTGTGAACAGTAATTTGGATTAGGGTACTTCAACCCCTGCTTACAGCTCCACTACTTGTTTTCTAAGCCCCATGGTCCTTTCAGTAATCTCCGGTATTGCTCTGAGGCGCGAAGGCTTCGGCCGCATGACCTGGACCAGCGGAAGGTCAGGTTTTCAAGAACACATGTGTGGTTTGGTGGTACCAAGATTTCAAGCCTCTCGGTGCTTGAAGTGTAATTGTTGTTCCACGGATCTTTCTGGCTTTATGTAACGTATATATAGTGCTACAAACACCATTATCGAGGTTATCAGACTCAAAGTCATAATCGATGCATATCTTTTGTCAAGCTTTCTGCCTGTATAACCAGGGCCCCACTCAGATCGCAGTTTCAGCTTCGATAGCGCTAAGGATACTGGATCCTGAACCCTACGTCTGTGTTTGGGCTTTTTTTCTCAGCATCACATCGCCTCAGAAGCTCCGATTACGATGCCAATCTCCACCGCATCACAGCTCACGCTGAAGTCGCAAGCTTTTGAGTTTATGAGCGCCATTTAGTACCAAACAGATCAGTGATCCAGAGCCTCACAGGTTGAGTGCGAGATCTAGGCTCCAATGTCGGGCCAGTGTAGACAAGTATCAGTGTGGCTGTGTGTGTGTGTGTGCGCCTTTACGATTTCGAGAGCCGGGCTTGGGGGGATCGGAATCCGTAAGCCTTGTGAGCAGACCATTCCCCATACGCCGAATCTTCCACTTCAGGACGTTCTTTTCGGGGGTTCAGAATTCTTTGCTTTACAACTTCGTCCCTTGACAAGCAACTCTGCTTGTAGTATAGCAGGTTGCAGAGACACCCCCTTAAAATAAAAGGCAACTAGGCCCGTCAATTCGGGGATACTTGTTCTGTAAAGTGTATTCAGAAACTCTGTATAACAGCAGAAACTTAGGAGCCCAATAGATAAACTTTAAACTTTTTTGGTATATTAAACCCCTACTAAAAGAAAGGTTTAAACTTTTTGCTGGGGCCTCCCTATCTCTCGAAGCCGGGCTCCCGTCTCTGCGCAGGTGGAAGAAGTACGAAGGGCATTGGAAGGATGGTATGCAGCATGAAGTAGGCCGGAGCTTAGGGTTGAGGGTTCAGGTTTTAGGGACGTTTAGGGCTCAAGGTTCAAGGCTCAGGGTTAAGGGTTTAAGGTTTAGCGGTTTCGAGTTTAAGCCTTAGGGTTTCAGAGTTCAGGGTTCAGGGTGGAAGCGGATCGATACTGGCTCTTCTGCAAGAGCCAGACTGTACCGGGGTTTGCCTTGAGAGATATGGATCATCTGCGACAGACGCCCGCATGGTCGGTGGTGAGGGTTGAGAATCCCACGAACTTCAAGCTGAGTCTGTGTTGTAGGCATTCGCTTCAGTGCCCGCCTGGAAATTGAAACCTCGGGCTGTAGGGGTCGCGGTTTAGGGTTTAGGGTTTATAGGGCTTAGGAGGGTTCAGAGGTCGCAGGGTGACGGCGTTGGTCGTACAGCTGGGATGAGCGCATGTGACGGCGTTGAATGTTTTCATTTCTGCGTCCACATGCTATAAAGCTTCAAAGACAAACGAAACTCCCGGAAACGGTATGCCGTACACCAGATATACCCTTAACACCTATAATTATAAGTTCTTTCCTAAGCCGCAAAGCCTACAGCCCCAAACCCTGCTCTGCAGTAACTCACTATATACTCAACCCGGCTCCTGAGGTTGCTTCAAGTTACCTTTCTATCGTTGTTTTGTTTTACACGTTTGTCTCGACTTAAATTCCCTCCACTCGAATGCTTTTCGGAGCATGCATAGCACATTTATATACTGAGGATGGCTGTGAGAAGTGCGCACGTTCGTAGCATCGCAAGACCAATGCAAATGCAGACATGTGGTCATCAGTATCATCTTCATAGCGTTACGAAGCAAGGTCAAAAAGTGGCAATACCATGTTGAGACACAAGATGAATGAACACAACAAACAGACCATGATGCTGCCTGAGTAGAAGTCATGACATGTGTTCCCGCATCCGTAACTCCTTCATAGCGATAAGAAGACAGGGCAGGAGTGGTACTACATTAATCTGATACAAGAAGATCACAACAAAAGCACCATGATTCTGCCTGAGTAGAAGTCATGACCGTCTGGACATGGATGCTCTGGTGGACGGATGCAGCTAGAGATGGTGCCATCGGCTTTTGGCATGGATGCTCTGGGAAACGGATTCAGTGTCTGTAAACTGCTGAAGCATTCTTGCGCTACCTGTTTACCTTCTTTCGGGTGGGCAGGTCAGGTAATGCCGTCGCAGCCAACCACGAACATCTGTGCACCCTATTCACTACGACCTTCCCCCCCTTGAAAGAAAGATCAACAGGATCCTTTGAGCCTTTCTAGGCATCGAGCCTTCATAGAATAGGGTTGGGGGGGTAGGTTCTGGTACGGTTGCTTGGAGCCAGGAACCCTGCTGGATCATCAAGACCAGGCATGACAGGGCTCGGGGGGATCTTAGGAGTCAGCAGGTTTTAGGCCTACCGGGTCTGACAATAGTAGTGTGGGGCTTTGGGGTTTAGGGTCTCGTAGGTTTTTATCCTTATCACTATTGTTGTCATTGGCATTCGTGGGTCGACATTGCAGGCTCTTTACTACTTGGGAGGCTTAGGTTATATAGAGGCCTGACTGACCCCTTATGCACTGAAGGCCCTACAGACAGAAGCCTGGATCTGTAAGGGTTTAGGGTTTGTGGTTCAGAAGCTTAGAGTTGTAGGATATCAGTTACAACTAGTTACAACCCCAACATAAGTATCCTATTGTATTCGCCACACATTCCAGCCGTCTCGCCTTCTACAGCATCTACGGGTCCTGTCGGTGATTTGCAACACTCCTGTCTCGGAGTTCTTCAAAAGTCCACTCCCTTTTGCAGTTGGTTCTTGAAGTGGTTGTTTCTTTATGCCTTACAATGTTATCAGCAAGACTAAAGCAGACCGTTTCCATGCTGGCACTCCAGCACTCTACGTCACTTTCTGTCTAAAGCTATCGACTTCGATAAGGACTTTGGACTTTCAGACGGTGTGGGGCTGCAGGGTTTTAGGGCTTTCCCGAACGCCCGAAAGATAATGGAACCCTCCCTCGCCTTCGGTTTCAGAACAGGTTTCCATCCGCATTCCTGAATGCGAGTGTGCTCGGTAGCAGATTCAGGTTTCCAGGGCTTCGTCCCAGGAGAGGCTAGGATGGCTCTATCGCTTTAGAGTCGCCGTGGGGTTTGTCAGGGTCAAGGCGGTAAGGGGAAGAAGGTCTACATAGTGACGCGTGCCTCAACATAGAAGCGTCAGTACTGTCAGTACTGTATGCTACCCTCCTGATACTGGTACAAGGCTGAAGATCTTTAAAAGACTCTAGGAGGTTTCCTCGCTGTGTAAAAGTGTCATGCCACACACCCTGAACATGTGCTATTCAGCTGGGCTCTTCAAGCCCTGCAGTCATTAAACAAAAAAGCGGCAGAAAGCCCCATAAGCACCTCAAGTCCTATGCAGCTCTATTTTGGGGTTGGTCTAACTACCCTATCTTCCAGACCTTAAGACCTCACCTTCGATCCAAAACCCATTAAGTTTAATTGCGGATGCGTGAAACCTGAAGCCCGAAAAGCCCAAACCGCCAAGCCCTAAACCCTAAACCCTAAACCCTAAGCCCTAAACCCTAAACCCTAAACCCTAACCCTAAATCCTCAACCCTTCAGGTCCCCTGAAATCGGGAGTGCTTTTTGCTGCTGCCAGGAGTTTCGAGGCTGCTTCAAGTACGGAAAGCTTGACTACTGGATCGACGACCACGACCACAAGAAGTGAAACTTGCAGGAAGGGCACCCTAATCCTGCACCCTAAGAAGCGAAATTTACAAGAAGGGATGGCGAGGATAAAGGCTTAGGGCATCTAGGATTCAGAACGAGTTGTGTTTTCCTTCAGCTGGCTACAGAGGGTTTAAAGTGCACCACTCTGCCCAAGACAAACTTCTTGATAGCTCAGAGCTGAGTGCCCAATCCAGAGAAGGACATACAATTGGTAGCGCAGTAGGTCAAATCCGAAACCTAACAGCCCTGACATAGTATATGTAGTCGTATGTGGCATTGTCCTTGCTTGAATATGGTAGACTATACTCCGAAGCCCTACTCTAACTTAACTATATATATATATATATACACACACACAAGTAAGCAATTGCTTTGGAGAATCCTTGAGCAGGTCGAGGATGACCCTCAACCCTATAGACCTTAAACCCGCGACCTTAGAGCCCCTAAAACCCCGTGTATAGTCTCTATCTCCCAGGCGATAATAGGGTTTAAGAGGAGGTTTAGGGTTTAGGGTTTAGTAACATACCGCAAGCCCTCCAATTATTAAGGCCTCTGAGAACGTTCGACGAAGCTTCCCTCCGGAAACTTGCGCTTGCTAAGTTAGGGCATTCTTGGGGTTTAGGGTTTAGGGTTTAGGGTCATAGTAGTTCCTTTTTGTGGCTTACATTTAGGATCCTTTTAGGTAATCCCAATAAGGAGCTACTATGGGGCCTATGGGTAGACACACCCTGGGTCTTGGCCATTTGGTGCCTGGACCTTAAAGCCCTTGACCCTACAAGGCCGTGCTTGAGGATGCTGAGCATCCAGATGTGCTGCCTCGTGCGGATGGTTGTCTCCTGTTCAACCGGGTGTCCGGCTGCCCCGAAACATCGCCAAGCCTCTATCTATGCCCTAACCTCACCCCGAGCCCCTACTATAAGCCCGAAGCTTTAACTTCAAACCTTTCCTGCACTAGAAATATGAAGGAGCACAGGTGTGCGTCTCGGTCTAGGAATAGCGTTACTCTTGTCGAGTTAAGCGGTGCAGTTCGATCCAAGTTCTCGCAAGATCAAAGCTGGTTATGCAGTTGGACGCCCGGTGGCACTGCAGAGAGCAAGAGACCAATCTTTCTCCATTTTCGTGGAGCTTGCTTGCTTGTGAGATACAAAAGGAGTATATCAGGCCTCGCACCTGCAGCCGTTCTCATTTATCGTGTGTATTGGAGTTCCTGATCTATTGCTACTCTTTGGGTGGTAGTATCCGTGCAGTTTCTTTCTTGGGTGGCGATTTCTGCGCGAACTTCGACTAAACCCAGAACTCACGCCGCTTCCAGATTATTCGCAAACCCTCAGAGCAATTGCCCTTCTGTACCGCTGGGTCAGCTATACTTGCTTAGCACCTGAGCGCCCTGCAAGACATGCAACCGAAGAGTCAGCGCCAAGTAGTACAGGGTTTCAGAGTTGGCACTGTATGGCTCGGTGCTTATGGCCTACGTTTGCAGGTATTGGGTTGATAAAAGGGGTCGAAATAGCCAAGCAACTAGTGATACTATGGGGGCCTTAATTAGAATAGGGTTTTGGGGCCCCTTATACGATAATTATAGTGAGGAACCCCCCAAATAGTATGTTGGTAACCATTTAGGCTTCCATATTAGTGGCAATTGCTCCTCTCAGTTACTATCGCATCGCACTTTTGTTTGCCACAGAGCCGCAATCGAATTGTCAAGAAGCCAGCGAAGCCCTAAACCCTAAACCCTAAGCCAATGGTACAAGGTAAGGCAGGAGCTCCCGCCTCCAGGGGCACTTCATCCTCAGTTCCTCCGGAGTAGCCTTTGGTTTTGGCTTTCGGTTTGGAGACCGAGGTTCTATAGGCCCCTAAGCCCTACAGCTTAGGTTGTCAGGCTTTTGCGGAGTGGGCTTCCTTTCGGAGTTTCCCTGATTTGGGAGTTTGAGGGGTCTGGATTGAAACTCTTAGCCCTTATTCAAGCCTCATAGAAACCTTTCCGTCTGCAAGGAAACCCTTATAGAAGCGCTAAAGTATAGAACCCCAAACCCAACCTAAAGCCCCAAAAGTAGGTAAACAAATATTGCCCAGAGCCCATCAAAGGCTATTTTTCTACAGACTGCTGGGGTCTAGGTAAACCCTAAACCACCTTCATGGAACCCACTGGAAGCCCTATCAGTCTAGGACATTTTCAGGTGGGTAGTTACCGTTATAGGAGCCTTATAGAAGGTCCATATACCTTATAGAAGCCCTATATCCCCTAAACTCCCCACCTGTAGGTTCCTTCAACTAAAACCGTAACCCTCAACCCCCCTAAAGATGGAAGCCCTATATACCCTAAACTCCCCACCTGTAGTTTCCTTTAAATCAGGTACTACAACCAGATTCGTGAGAATGAGAACGACTACGTCATCTCTGCCTCAGACCTCGGGCGTTACTACCAGGACTGGGTCTAGGGCTCTAGGCCTTAGGGATGTTTAGGGATCAGGGGTTTAGGGTTTTGGTGTTTTTTTTTTGAATTGGGGGGCTTAGTGGATTGTGGATTTCAGGTGTTGTTTTTGTTTCATTGTTTTCGGTGGGTTAAGGGTTGTTTGTATGCTAAGGGTACGGAGAGGATCCGCGGGGCTCTGCAAGCAGGTTATAGTAGGGTAAGTAGGGCAACAATATGATATGCCCGATGAGGGGCCTAGGGAACGAACGACCCATATTCTGACCTACCAACTGAGAGCCCTGATACTTTAAGCAGGCGAAATTACGGGTCCAGAAGAGGAAGAGAGTTACGAGTTGGGGTCAGAGACTTATCTAAGCTTCTAAGCCTCGGGGTGGGGGGCTATAGTCTCAATCAATATACATTTGCTTCATACTACGGAAAGCATCCGAAAACCCACTACTAAATATTGAGGACTTTTCTGACATACCCTACCCACTCACAACCGCCCCCAGCCCCCCCTGCTCATTCGAATCCTCAGCTAAAGCCTCATCCCGATTGGCCAGCAGCTCAGCTCTCTCCCTACGCATAGGCCCCATAGTAGTTCCTTTTTGGGGTTACCTTATAGGATTCTATATATGAACCCCAAAAAGGAACTACTTTAGGGCCTATGGGTAAAGCCTAAACCCTAAACCTTTGATCACGGGACCAGCCTTCCACGATGTGGATTCTGCCGACCTTGATTGCTAGG